ATGTACCGTGTATTAATGAGGATTAGAGAGAATCATGTACCGTGTATTAATGAGGACTAGAGAGAATTATGTACCGTGTATTTAATGAGGGTAGAGATAATTATGTACCGTGTATTAATGAGGGTAGAGAGAATTATGTACCGTGTATTTAATGAGGATTAGAGAGAATTATGTACCGTGTATTAATGAGGGTAGAGAGAATTATGTACCGTGTATTAATGAGGGTAGAGAGAATTATGTACCGTGTATTTAATGAGGGTAGAGAGAATTATGTACCGTGTATTAATGAGGGTTATAGAGAATTATGTACCGTGTATTAATGAGGACTAGAGAGAATTATGTACCGTGTATTAATGAGGACTAGAGATAATTATGTACCGTGTATTAATGAGGGTAGAGAGAATTATGTACCGTGTATTAATGAGGACTAGAGAGAATTATGTACCGTGTATTAATGAGGGTAGAGAGAATTATGTACCGTGTATTTAATGAGGGTAGAGAGAATTATGTACCGTGTATTTAATGAGGACTAGAGAGAATTATGTACCGTGTATTAATGAGGACTAGAGAGAATTATGTACCGTGTATTTAATGAGGGTAGAGAGAATTATGTACCGTGTATTAATGAGGACTAGAGAGAATTATGTACCGTGTATTTAATGAGGACTAGAGAGAATTATGTACCGTGTATTAATGAGGATTAGAGATAATTATGTACCGTGTATTAATGAGGATTAGAGAGAATCATGTACCGTGTATTAATGAGGGTAGAGAGAATTATGTACCGTGTATTAATGAGGACTAGAGAGAATTATGTACCGTGTATTAATGAGGGTAGAGAGAATTATGTACCGTGTATTTAATGAGGGTAGAGAGAATTATGTACCGTGTATTTAATGAGGACTAGAGAGAATTATGTACCGTGTATTAATGAGGGTAAAGAGAATTATGTACCGTGTATTTAATGAGGACTAGAGAGAATTATGTACCGTGTATTAATGAGGGTAGAGAGAATTATGTACCGTGTATTTAATGAGGACTAGAGAGAATTATGTACCGTGTATTAATGAGGATTAGAGAGAATTATGTACCGTGTATTAATGAGGATTAGAGAGAATTATGTACCGTGTATTAATGAGGGTAGAGAGAATTATGTACCGTGTATTAATGAGGACTAGAGAGAATTATGTACCGTGTATTTAATGAGGGTAGAGATAATTATGTACCGTGTATTTAATGAGGGTAGAGAGAATTATGTACCGTGTATTAATGAGGGTAGAGAGAATTATGTACCGTGTATTTAATGAGGGTAGAGAGAATTATGTACCGTGTATTAATGAGGGTTATAGAGAATTATGTACCGTGTATTAATGAGGACTAGAGAGAATTATGTACCGTGTATTAATGAGGACTAGAGAGAATTATGTACCGTGTATTTAATGAGGGTAGAGAGAATTATGTACCGTGTATTAATGAGGGTTATAGAGAATTATGTACCGTGTATTAATGAGGACTAGAGAGAATTATGTACCGTGTATTAATGAGGATTAGAGATAATTATGTACCGTGTATTAATGAGGGTAGAGAGAATCATGTACCGTGTATTTAATGAGGACTAGAGATAATTATGTACCGTGTATTAATGAGGGTAGAGAGAATTATGTACCGTGTATTAATGAGGATTAGAGAGAATGAGGATTAGAGAGAATTATGTACCGTGTATTTAATGAGGGTAGAGAGAATTATGTACCGTGTATTTAATGAGGACTAGAGATAATTATGTACCGTGTATTAATGAGGGTAGAGAGAATTATGTACCGTGTATTAATGAGGATTAGAGAGAATTATGTACCGTGTATTAATGAGGACTAGAGAGAATTATGTACCGTGTATTTAATGAGGGTAGAGAGAATTATGTACCGTGTATTTAATGAGGGTAGAGATAATTATGTACCGTGTATTTAATGTGGGTAGAGAGAATTATGTACCGTGTATTTAATGAGGACTAGAGAGAATTATGTACCGTGTATTTAATGAGGGTAGAGAGAATTATGTACCGTGTATTAATGAGGACTAGAGATAATTATGTACCGTGTATTTAATGAGGGTAGAGAGAATTATGTACCCTGTATTAATGAGGGTAGAGAGAATTATGTACCGTGTATTTAATGAGGGGAACAGCGATAATAGACAAGGTGTTTAGGAAGAGTGAGTTTTTATCGACGATATCTGCCATTGTAAAAATCTGAATCAAAATAAGTAATGTCAGGTTCTTAAGTGAGAACAATGTTAACATCAACGAAACCACTAACTGGCATCACATTTAACTTCAATAGAAAAACGGGATGTTTCCCAATGGCGGCGACTGTACTGCTTTCTGGCTTGCATCAAAATTACGGTTTTATCACTTAGATAACAAGGAATAAATATGCCTAGTTTAACATCAGAAACCATATCACATACTCTTGTATGTTCTATAATCACACATGAGGGACAAGATCTCAACAAAACATACTATCAGTCATTTACGTCCATCACTGATTTCTATATTCGTACGTCTTAAATGTTTTCCATCCAGGAAGAAATGTCGGTTGAATTATGACCACATTTTTCCTGATGATATAGAATTAGGGTGAAGCAGGACACTTTCTCGATATTTCTCAAAAAAAAAGCAACAAAATTGTAGTCGGAACAAGACAACTATAAAATAAAGGCAAATCATGAACAAAAAACGATATATACGGAGACCTTTGAAAAAAACAGCGATAATAAGACCAAGTGTTTAGTAAGAGTGAGTTTTTATCGAGGATATCCGGTTTTTGTCTCAGTATGTTACTTTTGGCTCGTTCTGAAATAAATCTGCTTTCCTCCTAGTCGTATTGCTGTCATGAGAATTTGACGATATATAACTTTTTTGCACTTCCCACCTCTCTCTCCCCACCCCCCTCTTCTTGCATCAAAGTTTGAAATTATTGCAATGTTAAGCTCTCTAAAACCTAACATAGTACATATATCTTTGCTGTGTGTTGGTAATTTTTGAGTATTTCCCTTATTCATGTGTTCTAAAACGAATTAAGTATTTCTTCGATCTCACACGTTCGAATTTCAGATTTTACGTCAATAACAAGTTTGAGATTTCTTGTTTGAAGTTTGCTCTGATACCTGATAGATATGAAACCTTTTCATCACTGTACAAATAACACACATTTGAAACAACGCCTTTCAATAGAAATTATAGTTTACCTTAGTTGTTGATTAACTGCATCATACAGATTTTTCGCCTTTCTAGGACTTAATCCGAGATCATTGAGACACTTGTTTGTGTACAAAAAATATTGATCTAATTGTGGAAATAACCTCGTTTGCCAAAACAAACAAATAAAAAGTCTCATTTCTCATCATTTTATTACGAGTTGTGTCAGCGATCATGTAAACATATAGCACACGTTTAGAAAGAGCCTGTCTTTTGTTAAACCATTAAAATTACACTGAAGATCAGTTATCTCCCTTGTCATGCATCTTAGTGTAGACATAGATATAGTCTGTCCTTTGTTTAGGCACTATAATTACTCTGAAGAGCAGTTATCTCCCTTGTCATGCATCTTAGTAAAGCCACATATATATATAAACATATAGAACATGTTTAGATATAGTATGTCCTTAGTTGAGGCACTATAATTACTCTGAAGATCAGTTATCTCCCTTGTCACGCATCTTCGTAAAGACATAGATATAGTCTGTCCTTTGTTTAGGCACTTTGATTACTCTGAAGAGCAGTTATCTCCCTTGTCATGCATCTTAGTGTAGACATAGATATAGTCTGTCCTTTGTTTAGGCACTATAATTACTCTGAAGAGCAGCTATCTCCCTTGTCATGCATCTTAGTAAAGCCATATATATATATAAACATATAGAACATGTTTAGATATAGTATGTCCTTAGTTGAGGCACTATAATTACTCTGAAGATCAGTTATCTCCCTTGTTACGCATCTTCGTAAAGACATAGATATAGTCTGTCCTTTGTTTAGGCACTTTGATTACTCTGAAGAGCAGTTATCTCCCTTGTCATGCACTCTAGTAAAACATATATATATATATAATCTGATATATACAAATACATATGATAAGCCATCTAGCACCACCACACATAATGATATGTAAAAATAACCATGATATTTTGTCATAGCTAAGAATACGACAGCCTGGCAAGTAAAGAAACTATCGAAAAAAAAACAAATGCTAAATAATTATTTTTGGTGATTTGAATATAAACTATCGCATAATATATCAATCATTTACTACAAGCCACAGCCAAACCTCGTTATCTCGAAATCTTATAACTTGAAGGCCCTGAATAATTCGAAGTATTTTTTCAGTCCCGGCCTAACTTTACACTAAACATATTTTATTATTTAAATGGAACAATCGGATAACACGAATTTTTCCCACCGACATCGAGATATCGAGGTTCCATTGTTATGTTTTTCTTCAATTGGTACATTTATCCTGCATGATAAGCTGTCAGGTATCAGAACCATATATTAGTCTATTCTCGAGATGAAGTACTTGATTTTTCAGTTTTATGTTTTTGTGGTTATATTGAATATTCCATCGCCTATTCAAGCTACAGCCTGCAGGTTTAAGTCGTCAAGAAACAGATTCACAAAATTATTAATGTTGGTACAATCTCCTCAGGTACAGTAAAACTAACCATTCAACATGTACCGAACCGATTCTTTTGAAACAAATTTGAAGCACTTTCACAAAATATATATCAATTTATAAAAAAGATGAATAAATATATACATCACAAACACATCATGATGAGCCCAGGAAATCAGCTACCTCCGCGGTGATATCCCTAGATCCCGATCTGTAACAACACTACATAGGTGTTACCAGAATCACGAAAGGTTTGGCCATCATGTATTGGAGTCTTAGATTTACATCACAACAGGACGTGACTTTGGTACGTCTCATACAGGTGTGATAAAGAGGTTAAAATGCGGTCTGCTTACTATCGTCAAGCATGCGGCGATACGTCTGATAAATCTTCATAAAATTGTCCCGCTCCATGCCATTCATTTCCCTGAAAATAATTTACATATTTATACTGTATCCGGTAAGATGCCACAGAAAAGTCATTGCAGAATGATAATGAAATCCGACATCCGGGGGCCATTTCATTCCAGAATTCGGTCTTCTACTTTAACGCCTAATTAATATATAGTACAAATCTTCAATGATTTAAAATTCTACATGAATACCTGGGATGGGGGCCAACCACTTATAGAAGTCTTACTAAACTCCTGACTGATCGTCAAGTCGTCCAAGGGCTACCTGTACCCCCGATGGGGGAGGACACCCCCCCACAACCCCTCAACCCCCCCCCCCCCATCTCCTTTCTTACTTTGTAAACTCCACCTATTATCCTTGATCCGGCCCTAATCTACATTAGAGGATCTGAACATAAAATCAATTATAGATGTTATATGTACGTCCCAAAAATTGAAGTCTCCCAATGAAGGACTAACACTAAATGGCAGACTTTATCAAATTAAATTAATTAATTATAACTGTGGAATAGTGTGACAGGAAATATGTCACCTAACACCTAGTAAAGTTTCTATACTTACTGCCGGAATTCCCGTTCGTATATATACTCCTGTTCTGGAAGTTCAGATGCTGCTATGTTGATCTGTCGAGTTGTCTCCCATTCCAACACTTGTCCGCCATCCCGACCGGAAGTAGACGTAGAGAACACTTGTCCGCCATCCCGACCGGAAGTAGACGTAGAGAACACTTGTCCGTGTCCACCGCCAGTTCCGTAACCACCCGAGGTTTCCATCGTCATGTTCCTCTCCAGGGTCTGCATGTCTCGTCCTTCCTCGTGCCCGCCGTGACGACCTTCACTTCTATGCATGTCAGTTCCCTGCCAATTTGTGGCCTCTAGTTCTTGTAGACGGCTGTCAATCTGATCATCCGGGACACTGCGGAATCAATCACTACCAGGTTATCATGTCATTGTCAAGGCAATGTCAATTATACAACGTCTCTACACATCAGGTGTCAATTATACAACATCTCTACACATCAGGTGTCAATTATACAACATCTCTACACATCAGATGTCAATTATACAACATCTCTACACATCATGTGTCAATTATACAACATCTCAACACATCAGGTGTCAATTATACAACATCTCTAAAAATCATGTGTCAATTATACAACATCTCAACACATCAGGTGTCAATTATAGAACATCTCTACACATCAGGTGTCAATTACACAACATCTCTACACATCAGGTGTCAATTATACAACATCCCAACACATCAGATGTCAATTATACAACATCCCAACACATCAGGTGTCAATTATACAACATCTCTACACATCAGGTGTCAATTATACTACATCTCAACACATCAGGTGTCAATTATACAACATACCAACACATCATGTGTCAATTATACAACATCCCAACACATCAGGTGTCAATTATACAACATCCCAACACATCAGGTGTCAATTACACAACATCCTAACACATCAGATGTCAATTATACAACATACCAACACATCATGTGTCAATTGATATTGTATCCATGCTACAGTCGATTGAATTTCTTCAACCAATATATCAAAACATTGGAAATAAATTAGATCAATTTCTCAATAAGTTTAAGATTTAGAAAAATAAAACGAAAATTTGTCGAATCGGAAGCTGGTTTTAAAATGAAGAAATTCACAAACACCTTCATACTTACCCTCTTAATGTCTCCAGCCAGACACGTGGTAATTTCATATCCCTGAAAGTCAAAATGACGAAATGACATCGTTACATGTTTTTTGATACCCAATTCATATGTTGAGCAAATGGACGTCTTCTATAAAATTTAAAAGTGTTATGAAGTGATCTTTCCCAACATTTCAAAGTCATATAAACATGTCACAAACCATTGCCTTATAAGGACACATCATTGTTAAAGTAAAATAACTCAATAATTTTCTCTAATGTTTTGAGGTATGTTAATTAGATGTTTGATACTGATTTTCCGATAAATGCCGCGGTTCTTTTTTTGAGGTTAGAGTTAGACATATAACTTTATGTTCTACTTACACTTCATACAAGTTGTCGTAGTCCACTTTGTCCAGCTTGTCCCAATTCTTATCGAAAGACCGGAAGCTCATAATTGACTCCACGTCAGTACTGCGGCCACTGAAAATGACAACAGTGACTACACTCTTCTATCTACTACAGAGAACTACCGACCTCAATTGCCAGTAATTTACAAGATAGAATGCTTTCAGATACTCAGAAGTGTTTTAATTAAGAGATCTTAATCAAATACAGGACATATTTCGAAATATATTATTGTTGGAAACAATATAATATACTAAAATTATTTACCTAATACCATCATGCATGTGTTTCTCCTTCCGCTTGGTGGCGCCACCCGCTGCTGCGGCCATCGCCTTGCTCCCTTTACCGCCAGCTCCTCCACAACAAAGACAAGGGAATGGACAGAGGCAACAGAGGATCGGGATAGCCAGAAAAAGGAAGGTTGCAAGACCAGTGAGAATTCCCGCCAAAATAGCGGTGTCCTGATGACTCAGGCCCGGAAGTACGCCCATTCCTGCCCCATACAATAGTGGGCTTTTGACGATACTAGTTACTTCCCCTGATGAGGATAAAAAATAAAATAAAAAGAAAAGCGTTCTGTTTTTAAACGAGACTGAAAACTTTATGAAATTGAAAGGGGATCACATAAAATGTGAAGTGTTGCACCGTCTGTCAATGGGAGTTACGTCCCCTGTAACGTGTTTGTCATTCACAAATTCTTCTTCGAGAATTTTATAAATTATATAAATTTCAATCCGTGATGTTTAAGTCAACATTATACTATTTAATTGGAATTATCATTGAAAATTTCAGTTATATAAAACCGATAAGAGTGATGTATCTATGTTTAGAAACTGTTTCCGACACGATTTTGTATCTGAGTGCGACATGTAGTGATTAAAATGCATGTATGTTAAGCGTCGCAGTCTCTCCATGTTTTACTGTATCGGCATGTTTTTCTGTGTGTTGTCGCTGCTAATGGGTTCTATCCTTGTGTGAGGTGTGTTCTATCCTTGTGTGATGTGTGTTCTATCCTTGTGTGATGTGTGTTCTATCTTTGTGTGATGTGTGTTCTATCTTTGTGTGATGTGTGTTCTATCCTTGTGTGATGTGTGTTCTATCCTTGTGTGATGTGTGTTCTATCCTTGTGTGATGTGTGTTCTATCTTTGTGTGTGTGATGTGTGTTCTATCCTTGTGTGATGTGTGTTCTATCCTTGTGTGATGTGTGTTCTATCCTTGTGTGATGTGGGTTCTATCCTTGTGTGATGTGTGTTCTATCCTTGTGTGATGTGTGTTCTATCCTTGTGTGATGTGTGTTCTATCCTTGTGTGATGTGTGTTCTATCCTTGTGTGATGTGTGTTCTATCCTTGTGTGATGTGTGTTCTATCCTTGTGTGATGTGTGTTCTATCCTTGTGTGATGTGTGTTCTATCCTTGTGTGATGTGTGTTCTATCCTTGTGTGATGTGTGTTCTATCCTTGTGTGATGTGTGTTCTATCTTTGTGTGATGTGTGTTCTATCCTTGTGTGATGTGTGTTCTATCCTTGTGTGATGTGTGTTCTATCCTTGTGTGATGTGTGTTCTATCCTTGTGTGTGTGATGTGTGTTCTATCCTTGTGTGTGTGATGTGTGTTCTATCCTTGTGTGATGTGTGTTCTATCCTTGTGTGTTGTGGGTTCTATCCTTGTGTGATGTGTGTTCTATCCTTGTGTGGTGTGTGATGTGTGTTCTATCCTTGTGTGATGTGTGTTCTATCCTTGTGTGATGTGTGTTCTATCCTTGTGTGATGTGTGTTCTATCCTTGTGTGATGTGTGTTCTATCCTTGTGTGTGTGTGTTCTATGTGTGATGTGTGTTCTATGTGTGATGTGTGTTCTATCCTTGTGTGTGTGTGTGTGTGTTCTATCCTTGTGTGATGTGTGTGTGATGTGTGTTCTATCCTTGTGTGATGTGTGTTCTATCCTTGTGTGATGTGTGTTCTATCCTTGTGTGATGTGTGTTCTATCCTTGTGTGATGTGTGTTCTATCCTTGTGTGATGTGGGTTCTATCCTTGTGTGATGTGTGTTCTATCCTTGTGTGATGTGTGTTCTATCCTTGTGTGATGTGTGTTCTATCCTTGTGTGATGTGTGTTCTATCCTTGTGTGATGTGTGTTCTATCCTTGTGTGATGTGTGTTCTATCCTTGTGTGATGTGTGTTCTATCCTTGTGTGATGTGTGTTCTATCCTTGTGTGATGTGTGTTCGATTCCTTGTGTGATGTGTGTTCTATCCTTGTGTGATGTGTGTTCTATCCTTGTGTGATGTGTGTTCTATCCTTGTGTGATGTGTGTTCTATCCTTGTGTGATGTGTGATGTGTGTTCTATCCTTGTGTGGTGTGTGTTCTATCCTTGTGTGATGTGTGTTCTATCCTTGTGTGATGTGTGTTCTATGTGTGATGTGTGTTCTATCCTTGTGTGATGTGTGTTCTATCCTTGTGTGATGTGTGTTCTATCCTTGTGTGATGTGTGTTCCTTGTGTGATCCTTGTGTGATGTGTGTTCTATCCTTGTGTGATGTGTGTTCTATCCTTGTGTGATGTGGGTTCTATCCTTGTGTGTGTGATGTGTGTTCTATCCTTGTGTGATGTGTGTTCTATCCTTGTGTGATGTGTGTTCTATCCTTGTGTGATGTGTGTTCTATCCTTGTGTGATGTGTGTTATATCCTTGTGTGATGTGTGTTCTATCCTTGTGTGATCTGGGTTCTATCCTTGTGTGATGTGATGAGTTATGTCCCCTGTAACGTGTTTGTACTTTGTATTTTTGATATTTTTATTTTGTTTTTTGCGTATTGACGAAAAATCACGGTGTTTTTATTTCTTTCTTTAAATTTTTCTGACACCATGAAATTAAAAACAGACGTAAGACCTGAGCAGATTTAGATTTCGAGTTTACTCTTAAATATAAAAAAAACTGTTTATATTACTTCAAGTGATACAGAGACATTCTGTTTTTTTTTTTTTTTTTGATTCTTACCAAATCCTCCCTCACATACACAGTTCGGGTCAACCGACATACTCTGCCACGTGCCAACACCTGCTGTAAAAAAAAAAAGAAAAAAAGAAAATTAGCATAAACAGGTATCAATAAAAATAATCTACATCCATTAGGTTAATATCTAGAATATTGCGTGTACCAACAACCATTGAAAAGCTTCGTCTCAGAAACTGTTACCGTAGAACGGACCAAGAACTTTCGTACTCTAGATTGATTACAAGTAGTTTGACACATATGTACACAATATCCTGAACAGATTTCAGATGAAAAAAAAGACACAACAGACGTCCTAAATAAACTTAACAAGCTTACGTTTCATTGATTTGAAAAGCATGTTGTGAAAAACTTGGTAAAGAAAGTGAAACGTTATCCAGTCAGAATTGAAGAATTTCTGATTTCACGTGATTTTCGACGTAAGCGATCTGGTTACCTCGTGACTTTCCGTAAGCATTCTCTTTTACGGAAAATGCCGAATGTTACCGATTCGAAATCATTGAAACTGTCACTTCGGTGTTTGCATTTTATAACAGATTATCTTAATTTAACTGTGTTGGATTATTTTTCTAAACTTTTTTAACGTGGTGCGATGAAGCCGTTAAACAGTCACTTCAAGACGTATAACATTGATCAATGATAATAAAAAGGTATACACATCAAAACAGCATGTCACTGGGCCAGAAACAAGTAATTAGTATCAATAAGTATGATTATGTTGTATTCACTGTCGGTATGTCAATATTGCTGGTCCTTGTTAGTATACCCTCACAGACGATTCATCCGATACCAGCAAGGCGCTGTCTCCCCTCCTTTTATTGTATTGAAAGTCTACCACAAAAGAAAAGTGTACACATCTCTCACCTGTGATATAAATATAGCTTTTATTTGGGGTGAAAAAACCGCAATGATGTGGTATGAAAGGTGACCTGGTTTCATGGTTAACTCTAGCATCAATGACAAGATGCAGATAAACTTGAGTGTCTTTTGTACAAGCATCGAGACTACAGCAGGTAGACACTGCTGGTGGTAGACACTACTGGTGGTAGACACTACAGGCGGAAGACACTGCTGGTGGACTCTTAGTCCCACAGGTTTACTGTAACCTGTATACCACGTTTCGGTTCAGAATATACAAACGTACTTCAGTTTTTTTTCTAAAAGATCTGATAAATGAAACTAATAAATCTATTTAATTATGGGGCAGCTGTACCTCCCAATCTAGATTTTTTTTAATTTTCTTTCAATCACTTTGAATATTCCTCAGTCGCCTAAACGTTTCAAAATTTAGATCCTTAGCATGACTGACGTGTACTTAACTCTTATTTCTATGAAAAAGCACTATTTATTTTGCTTTTTTTTACAATCTCCATACTGATTTAAAAGAATACCAAAAGGTTTCCATTCGACCTAGATCGAACAGTTATATCTCAATGTTCGGTCATCAGTAAAGGTTTTACAAAAGACAGGCGAGCGCACCAGTTAGTACATATTTAGAAATAGACAAACAATAATTGAATCATACAGCTTTTCGTCCTTCTAGGTCTCGTCAGTGATGCTACATCATACAGTTGTTTCGTCCTTCTAGCACTCGTCAGTGATGCTACATCATACAGCTGTTTCGTCCTTCTAGGACTCGTCAGTGATGTCACATGATACAGCTGTTTCGTCCTTCTAGGACTTGTTAGTGATGTTACATCATACAGCTGTTTCGTTCTACTAGGATTCGTCAGTGATACTACATCATACAGATGTTTTGTCCTTCTAGGACTCGTCAGTGACGCTACATCATACAACTGTTTCGTCCTTTTAGGACTCGTCAGTGATGCTACATCATCAGCTGTTTCGTCCTTCTAGGACTCGTCAGTGATGCTACATCATACAGCTGTTTCGTCCTTCTAGGACTCGTAAGTGATGCTACATCATACAGTTGTTTCGTCCTTCTATCACTCGTCAGTGATGCTACATCATACAGCTGTTTCGTCCTTCTAGCACTCGTCAGTGATGTTACATCATACAGCTGTTTCGTCCTTCTAGGACTCGTCAGTGATGTCACATGATACAGCTGTTTCGTCCTTCTAGGACTTGTTAGTGATGTTACATCATACAGCTGTTTCGTCCTACTAGGACTCGTCAGTGATGCTAAATTATACAACTGTTTTGTCCTACTAGGATTCGTCGGTGATACTACATAATACAGATGTTTTGTCCTTCTAGGACTCGTCAGTGACGCTACATCATACAACTGTTTCGTCCTTGTAGGACTCGTCAGTGATGCTAGAGGCCTAAAATTTAAGAGGCGACTGAGAAAATGTCTAAATTAAACCAAATCAAATTTCAAAATATGGCTAAGGGACTTTCACACACATCTGTTGAACCTTGCAACATCAAAAGGGTTGAAACACAAATAGGAGAATATTAAAATCACTTATCTGGTAAAACCATGTAAATAGAGGCGATATAAAGGTGGAGTGTTGGTGTGGGTGAAATCGCCTTCAAGATTTTTCATATGATTAGGATGGAAGAACGAATGAACAAGCATACACTGACCTCGTCAATGGACAACTTTTACCGAAAATACTGTCACGTGGATGACAATACAAAAGCTATTTTTTATCATTTAATTTCAACCAATTAAACTTGATCTTTAAAGAGATGTTATCGATTTTTAAGCTAAAACTATCATTTAGGTAGAATCATCGTATGATTTATGAATTGTAGATCGGCGTTGTTGTTCTCCACCATCAATGAGCTGAAATATTTTATAAATCCTGTTAGAAAGGAGTTTTACTATCAGTAATATCAATAAGTGTTATGTGTATTAAATATTTCATTATAAACAGTATTTCTATACCCAATACATGTTTACAAATTAGAACTTAAAATAACAGTAACATATGTTATTTGTCCGGGTATTCCTCGTACTGAAGTTTGTTGATCTTTTAAAAAGTCAAATTGCCTGTTAGATATGAGATTGGATAGCTTTGTTTTCACTTAAAGTTTTAATATGACATAATGTAAAGCTGGAACAATAAGAGAAAGCTCAGGTGTGGATTCCCGCCATTATAATACAGATAGGTACTGACACAATGTATTGAAATGTTGTATATGTCTCTGTGCTATTTATAGATATCCCCCCGGTTAATAAACCTTTGTTTCCCTATCTATCCACAGATATGTTACTACATCCTATCTTCTATACAACGGCATATTTTGTAGACTTTTTACTGCACGAAACCTACCTGTATAGGTAGTATATATATAGGTAAGGCTATAAACACGGTCATTTAGAGTCACTGTAAAACAATGTACGCTTTACCTGTGTATTTACCTGTGTTATATCTACACACATAGACAATCTATCGAGCCTATCACCTGTCCTATGATGTTAAGTCGGCGCTTCCGGACAAACCGAGCACCAAAACAGGTCGTTAACATGTATCCCCGGGGGACAGGACGAGGCTCTCCACTCGTATCCCCGGGGGACAGGAGAGAGGCTCTCCAATGGGGTTTCTAAAAAAACGTCATATGTATTTTCATTATCATTCATTGTTTTTATTCTTTTATTTTGATAATCCAACTTTTCACGTGCTCTGAAATGACACAATGAAAAAATTATCAGAAAGTCTGTTTGGCGGAACGCATGGTAGATCGGGGAGGGAAGGTGTTATAATATGCTATAATATGTATACGTTAATGTATATGTAATATGTAATATGTATATGTGATATGTAATATGTATATGTGATATGTATACGTTATATGTATATGTAATATGTAATATGTATATGTGATATGTGACATGTACTATGTGATATGTATACGTTACATGTATATGTAATATGTGATATGTAATATGTATATGTGATATGTAATATGTATATCTGATATGTAATATATATATGTGATATGTAATATGTATATGTGATATGTGATATGTAATATGTAAATATGATATGTAATATGTATATGTGATATGTATACGTTATATGTATATGTGATATGTAATATGTATATGTGCTATGTAATATGTATATGTGATATGTAATATGTGATATGTAATATGTATATGTATAACCTAGATATAATACCTAGATACCAAGTTAAAATACCTAGATACCAAGTTAAAATACCTAGATACCAAGATAAAATACCTAGATACCAAGATAAAATACCTAGATACCAAGTTAAAATACCTAGATACCAAGATAAAATACCAAGATGCCAAGTTAAAATACCTAGATACCAAGTTAGAATACCTAGATACCAAGATAAAATACCAAGATACCAAGTTAAAATACCTAGCTACCAAGTTAGAATACCTAGATACCAAGATAAAATACCAAGATGCCAAGTTAAAATACCTAGATACCAAGTTAGAATACCTAGATACCAAGATAAAATACCAAGATACCAAGTTAAAATACCTAGATACCAAGATAAAATACCTAGATACCAAGCTAAAATACCTAGATACCAAATTAAAATACCTAGGTACCAAGTTAAAATACCTAGATACCAGATAAAATTCCTAGATACCAAGTTAAGATACCTAGATACCAAGATAAAATACCTAGATACCAAGATAAAATACCTAGATACCAAGATGAAATACCTAGATACCAAGTTAAAATACCTAGATACCAGATAAAATTCCTAGATACCAAGTTAAGATACCTAGATACCAAGATAAAATACCTAGATACCAAGATAAAATACCTAGATACCAAGATGAAATACCTAGATACCAAGTTAAAATACCTAGATACCAAGATAAAATACCTGGATACAGAAACCAAGATTAAAGACACCAAAATGAAATGCATATGAAAAATACAAAGATCAAATGCATAGATATAAAAATGTAGTATCAAGATACTATGATAAAATAACAAGAACGAATAAAAATGATACGGAAACCTTCCTCCGGAGACAGATTTCCGATGACGAGTAAATTCTAAGTTAGAAAACGTGTGTGTTATACATTACTAGTCACGATAATAGATCTGATATGATTTTAACCAGAAATATACAGAACCTATTTTGTAATATGCTAATTTTTGTTTCCTCTGAAGTTGCCGACAGAGGGGTGGGGGTCATTTTTTAATCACAGGATATCATTAAGATAGTTTATTGATCTCTCTGACCCAAGTTAATAATAAAGAAAAGAGATAAATAGATTGATAAATTTATAATCCAGAGCGATTGTACAAAAGACACACAAGTGAATAGCGCCTATTTGATCATTTAGAGCTTGAGACAGTAGCGCCAAACAAGGAACTAAACTGTACCATACAGCTGTTGGTGTAGACAATTTGCCTTTTGTGTAAATCTCTCAGG